AGTCATGATCACAGCTCACGGCATCGTCAACCTCTTAGACTCAGGTGATCTTCCACGTTGCCCTCTTGAGTAGATGGGATTGCAGGTGTGCACCACCACACTCAGCTAATTTTTAAAATTTGTTTTGTAGAGATAAACTTTCGCTATGTTGCCCAGACTCGAACCCCTGGGCTGAAGCAATCCACCAGCCTCAGCCTCCCAAAGTGCTGGGATTTCAGGCATGAGCCACCATGCCCAGCCAATCTTTTGTATTTCTTTGGCATCATATAAGTACTTGGCAAGGTGCTAAATGTATTACTAATAAGTTACCATTTATTAAGAGCTTAACATTTTCAAACAATTGCATCATCTGAATTAATTCTTATGATAATCTATTAGGTCTGAGTGTTTATTGTCATCCCAAAGCTGAGGATATTAAAATTTAAGATGGGTTAAATACTTGTGACATAACCAGTAAATGGTGAGACTGGCATTGTATCTTTGGTCTCTAATCCCAAAGCTCATGCTGTTAACCTTTATACCATAATATCTGTTGTAGTACTAAATTTTTGAAGCTGTGCAATCTCTATGAGAAATTTTACCAAGATATTTTAAAACGTAGTGGAAATGCTTAAGTTGTTTAGGTATGCTAGCTCACTTATGAAATTAACTGCATGTTCCACATTCAATATTAACTATTCTAGACTTATAAGTATTCATTCCTCTGTTACAGTGTTCTTCCATGAAAATTGTTTTACCTTAGCAATTCCCATATCAATGAGTTTTGCTTTTATTGTTGATGAATTGTATACAATTGTAGAAAAGATTGTATTCCCTTTATAGTAATAAATCTTACTCACTTTGATTATTTTGAACTTCCTTGGTCATTGAAGCTTTTTTTCTTTGACTCAGTCTCAAAAAAAGGCTGGAGTGTGGTGGCATGCTCACATCCACTGAAGCCTTGACTTGCTGGGCTCAGGCAATCCTTTCACCTCAGCCATCCAAGTAGCTGGAATCACAGGCATGTGTCACCATGCCTACTAATTTTTTGATCTATTGTAGAAACGAGGTCTTGCCAGGTTGCCCAGGCTGGTCTTAAGCTCCTAGACTCAGACAATCCTCTCTCCTCTACCTCCCAAAGTGCTGGGATTACAGACATGAGCCACCACGCCCAGCTGACATTTAAGCCTTTTTTTTTTTTTTTGAGTTGGAGTCTCACTCTGTCGCCCAGACTGGAGTGCAGTGGCATGCTCCTGGCCACTGCAGCCTCTACCTGCTGGGCTCCGGTGATCCTTCCGCCTCAGCCTTCCAAGTAGCTGGAACTACAGGCACGCGCTACCACGCCCGGCTCATTTTGATTTATTGTAGAGATGAGGTCTCGCCAAGTTGCCCAGGCGGGTCTCGAACCCACGGGTTCAGGCAATCCACTCACCTCAGCCTCCCAAAGCGTGGGATTATAGGCTGAGCCACCAAGCCCGGCAAAAAATCTTTTAGTTGTAATTTAAAAGTGGCACAGAGCATTATGTATATGATCTCATATGTGTAAGAGAAAAGTGTATGTTTGTGTGTTTTAAATATTCATAGAAAGTGTCTAGAAAGAAAACTTTCAGAATGTGACTGTGAGAGCCAGGATGAAGGGAAAGGAACTTTAAATATACCCTTCTGTTTTATCTGGATATTTTTTCTTTTATTAATTTCTCTCCCTTTAGTCTTTTCACATCCTCACTTTTGTCTTTGTTTTCCTGTCCCTTCTCTTAATAGCCCCTTTGTGTATCTTTCTGTGGCTTTCTTCAAGCTAACACAAATGTACAGATGCATTTAGGGGCTTTTTTGAGGGGTCATTGTACAAAAGTAAGATTACTGAGGCCAGGCACAGTGGCTCATACCTGTAATCCCAGCACTTTGGGAGACTGAGGCAGGAAGATTGTTTGAGCAGAGAAGTTTGAGATCAGCCTGGGCAACATAACAAGACCTTGTCTCTAAAAAAACAAAATTTAAAAAATTAGCCACTTGTGATGGCATGCAACTGTAGTCCCAGCTACTCGGATACTGAGGTGGAAAGATCACTTGAGCCCTGGTGTTTGAGGCTATGGTGAGCTGTGAGCATGCCACTGCACTCCAACTTGGGCCACAGAGTAAGAACCCGACTCAAAAAAAAAAAAATAGGATTACCTATAGATGTCACTCTGGAACTTGGATTTCTTATTATGTACATCTTCAGTTTCTAGAAATAGAAACTGTGTATTTCTTTTCTTTTTATTAACTGTGTACTATGCATATTGTACTAGGTATCTTCTTGATGAAAGCTGTTAGGTGTTTTGCTATCACATATAATTTTGCCATGAATATCCTTATGCATTTATCTTTACACGTTTTAAGGGTTTTTGTTTGTTGAGTCAAGAGTCTTACTCTGTTGCCCAGGCTGGAGTGCAGTGACACGATCACGGCTCACTGTAGCCTCGACCTCCCAGGCTTAGGCAATTCTTTCACCTCAGCCTCCTGAGTAGCTGGGACAATAGGTTTGCACTACCATGCCTGACTAATTTTTTGATTTTTTTTTTTGTAGAGACGAGGTCTGGCTATGTTGCTCAGGTTGACCTCAAACTCTTGGGTTCAAGCAATCCTCTAAATTTAGCCTCCCAAAGGGCTGGGATTATAGATGTGAACCACTGTGCCTGACTATCTTTGCACATTTATGTAATGTATCTGTAGGATATGAATCAGGATTCTATGTATTAACGTTTTTTTGTTTGGTTTCTATTTTGAGTTGGAGTCTCAGTCTGTTGCCCAGGCTGGAGTGCAGTGGTGCACTCTCAGCCACCGCAGCCTTGAGCTGCTGGGCTCAAACTGAGTCCTTCTGCCTCAGTCTTCCAAGTAGCTGGAACTACAGGCGTGCACCACCACACCTGGCTATGTACTAAAGTTTTTGATAGATGCTGCTTATTACCTATTAAAAGGATTATACTGTATCAGCAGCAGTATACACAGTTAGAACCCAGATCCAGATCTACCTTTCCGCTCTACAAGAAGCTTAGTGCAATGGTTGATTCCAGATCTGTAGCAGATTAAGGACAAGGTCAGCCTAGGATACCTTGTGCCAAAAAAACAGGAAGTCCTCAAAGACTAATGGGGTCTTGTATAAAGGATATAAATGGCCAGCTGGCAGAGGCCCTAATGGCCAAATTTGGGATAATTTGAATATCAAATAAATAATTATAAGTATACCACTGAATTTTTTTTTAATCAATGAGTAGTGATACTAAAAGATGGTAAGGGATAGAGTAAAGCTCTTTTAAAAAGACAAATACTAGCGAATTAATGTAGAAGAAATGACAATGTCAAAAACTCATCATTTTGCAATCTCCAATGTAATATGTGAATTTAAATTAGCAGGCAGGAAGCATTATGGGAACTATACGCCTGGTGAGAAGTTGTTGGGCTATTCACATGGTGCCACAGATTACTTACAATCACAAAGGGAAAAATATATACCTTTACACGAGAAAAATCCTGCAGTTACTACCTTAACCAAATGATCAAACTTAGTATCATTAATGAAGAGATATCTTGACTTTATGGCCATTTTGTTCCCTTCAATAAGAAGCACCCAATTCACTTATGAAGTATTCTTCCCCAAAAATGTTTAACCCAAATCTAGTCATCCCTCATGTATATCTACTGGATTATCTTCTGTAGAGTTGTAGGTGATTCTACAATGTGATATTAGGTAGATTATGTTAGTATCTTTTCTAGGTCTCAGAGCTGTCATTTGTAAAACAGTGACATTGAATCAAATAAATACATGAAAATAACCTAGCATTTAGTTTATTGTATAGTAAGAATTTAGCATATTAGTTCAGCTCTAATGTCAATCCTTTTGTGACCACCAAGTATATAGCTGAATGAAAAGTATATTTCTCTTTTTTACATCTAATTTCTTTATCTAATTTTCTATGTAATTTGATGGGATGCCTTATGAATTCCCTGTACTTGCTTAGCTCCAAAGTCTAATGAAGCCCCAAGTATGCCATAGAGTCCAGAATGTTCAAGGGACATTTTAGGTAATAGAGCATGAATTAGAACATTTCTATATACTCATTCGAAATTTAGGCTGACTTGTATGAAATTACCAATTTTGTAGATTTAAAATGGTCAAATATCAGCAGTTTCACATGGTTCAACCTAATGTGCTTTAGAGGCTCAGCATACCATCTTTATTTGGCAAGCAATCTTTTTCTTCTTCCTTATGGTTTTAAAAAAGATTTGTATTGAGCCAAGTTTGAAGAAAATTGTGACGTGGAGTGGTATTCTGAATATTTTAGGAGATTCTTTATTTCATACTTCATTATCCTCCTGTGCAATAGTTATTCTTTTCAATCACTTCTTATCTCTTGGTTTTTCTTTCTAGGTAATGTCAAATAAAACAAAAGGGAGGGAAATTATTCTAGTTCCTCTCTTTTCTTTACTTTAAACTCTGGACTGGTCTTTTTGAATAGGTGGTTGCAGAATCTTGAAAACTTGAGCAATAATAATGTATTTACTTTAAGATACCGCTGGTTCTTTTTTAAAGCTTGCACTTTGAAATGATAATATACTTTATTTTAACTCTTGTTACTAGTAGAAAATGGAAAGTAAGACAAGTTGAGGGATTTGGTGTGCATTTTCTTCTATAGAACATACATAATAAAGTAATAACTCATAGGAGATTGAAAAGTTTTGGGCTGTGAGGAAGTATTAAAGTTATTATGTAATAGCAAGAATCCTCTGGGATGTAACACTTGTAACAAGGGCCATAATTTTTATTCCTATTAGAAAATGACTTAAAGAATGTGTTATGGGTAAATGTGTATAGTTCAGTATTTCTGAGCTTTCTTTTTATGTCCTCAAATGACAAAAATTTATTGGAAGACCTTCTGTCTTAAGGAAATGTGATCAAACTTTATATAAGTAGTTTTGTTAAAATCCTTAGTTTTTGGCAATTCAAATGATTGCCAGTTTGAAAGTTATTGTTTATGTTTCAGATAGCTGCTCAGGAAGCAATCCTGCATGCATCTGGAGATGGCATACCTTTATCATCGAAGGACTACTGCATGCTATATAACCCTCACTGGACAGCTCTTCCAAGTACCCTAGAAAATGCAGTAAGTAAATTACATTTACATTTTCTTTTCTTTTCTTTCTTTCTTTCTTTTTTTTTTTTTTTTTGAGTCAGAGTCTCATTCTGTCATCCACACTGGAGTGCAGTGGCACTCTCACAGCTACTGCAGCCTCAACCTACGAGGCTTAGGCAATCCTTCTGCCTCAGCCTTTTAAGTAGCTGGAACTACTGGTGTGTGCCACCATACCTGGCTAATTTTTGACTTTTGTTGTGGAGATGAGGTCTCGCCAAGTTTACCAGGCTGTTCTCAAACTCCCAGACTCAGGCAATCCTCTCATCTCTGCCTCCTAAAGTGCTGGGATTATAGGTGTGAGTCGCCACTGAGCCCAGCTACACTTACTATTCTTAAACATTAAAATATTGAAGAAATAAGAATGAGTAATAATTATATTTTAGCATGTGAAATAGTTGTAATATATTGTGATTTATAATTATTTTATTGATTTTCCTTGAGTGTTTTTCTCTTTGAGAGAATAAGTTAGGGAATTCTAACATACTTACATCTAAGCTTGATTGTCATAAAATATTTCTAATTTTAAACAGCATTGTATAAATCAATATTGGTACCTTATAACTGAATGCATTTAGGGTAAAATAAGATCTTTATTATGATAAAAAGATATTTCTTATTTTCAGACTTCCATTAGTTTGATGAATCTGACTTCCACACCACTATGCAACCTTTCTGATATTCCTCCTGTTGGCATAAAGAACAAAGCAGTTGTGGTACAGTGGGGAACCTGCCATTTTCTTGAAAAAGCTGAGATTGCACAGAAAGGTGGTGCTGAAGCATTGTTGGTTGCCAATAACAGTGTCCTAGTAAGTTATAAAACTATCATTACTTCTTTTGAGCTCATGATATTAAATTTCAGAAGCATTGAATTAACCTCTTTATGGTTTAGGGGCTGAGTTTTGAATAATCTGATGGTAGGATTCTTTGAAAATAAACATGCAGGAACTGATAGGCATTTAATTGGAAAGTTTTGCAGGTTTTGCTCTCTTCCTAGAATAGATAAGACTTTGTTAGGAACAAATATGTGTATGTATGTTCTAGGGGGGACCCAAAAAATACCATAATTATCTTTTGGAGGACGGGCCTCTTGTAGTACAGGCTTCCTTCCCTAGGTGAGTGTTCTAGGAATCCATTGGCACTAGTGTACCAACTAGCACTGTTGTAAAAGGCTGGGTTTGGCTTAAGTGAATTTTTTGTTTTTGGAGATTCTTTCAACCCATTTGCTCATTTTATGATGGGTGATTTATGAGCACACTTGCCTACACAACACTGGGTGTTCAGTAGTTTTTGACCCAAAACAGCATGACCCCCCATTCTCCACCCTCCCTATTTACCTGATCTCACCTTGAATGACTTTTTTTGGTTCCCTGGATGAAAAAAGTCCTCAAAGGGAAATGTTTTGCGGATGTAGAAGAGGTAAAACAAAAAAAAAATGGCAGAAGTACTAAAAGGCATCAAAATTGATACATTAGAAAACTTTTGAGCAGTGGAAAAAGCGTCTTAATAGGTATATTGAATCAAATGGAGAGTTCTTGAAGGTTACTGAAGTTTAAACATGTAAGAATAAATACACAAGTTTTATAAATAGATTATAGGTTTTCTTGGGGTCCATCCTCTAAGTTATGTATGTATGTATATATGTATATGTATGTAATACATTGTATGTAATACAATACTTAAGCATACAGTTTAAGTTCATGTTAAAAGGATTTCATCTTGAGAATTTATATAATATTAAGAAAGAATACGTAAAACTTTGAGAACTAAGATATAATATTTATCTTTAATGGAATAATTTGTATTTTATTCTATAAATATGTTAGTAGTTAATAAGTTTTCTTCTTTTAGTTTCCTCCCTCAGGAAACAGATCTGAATTTCATGATGTAAAACTACTGATTGCATTTATAAGCCACAAAGACTTTAAAGATATGGAGCAGGTAAGTTAATAATTACATATGCCGGGCATGGTGGTTCACTCCTATAATCCCAGCACTTTGGAAGGCAGAGGCGAGAGGATTACCTGAGTCCACAGGTTCGAGACCAGCCTGGGGAACTTGGCGAGACCTTGTCTCTATAATAAGTCAAAAAATTAGCCAGGCGTGGTGGTGCACATCTGTGGTTCCAGGTACTTGGAAGGCTTAGGTGAAAGGATCACCTGAGCCCAGCAGCTTGAGACTGCAATGGCTGTGAGATGTACTCAGTCTGCATGACAGAGTAAGACTCTGACTCAAAAAAAAAAATTTCATTTGTTGGGGGCACACCTCAGTAACTGCATAATGAACATTTATATACCTAACCCTGAATTGTACCCCACATCTTTAAAATAAAAAAAGTTTTTAAAAATTACATATTAGAAAAGTGTATAAATAGTACAACTCTTCACTTCTAATCGCTGATATTTAATTTTGAGCATTTTTTTTTTTTTTTTGAGTTGGGAGTCTCACTCTGTCGCTCAGACTGGAGTACAGCGGCTGCTCCCGGCCACCACAGCCTCCACCTGCTGGGCTCCGGCGATCCTTCCGCCTCAGCCTTCCAAGTAGCTGGAATTACAGGTGCGCGCTACCACACCCGGCTAATTTTTTTGATTTATTGTAAAAATGAGGTTTCAACAAGTTGCCCAGGCGGGTCTCGAAACCGTGGGCTCAGGCAGTCCACTCACCTCAGTCTCCCAAAGTGCTGGGATTACAGGCTGAGCCACCGAGCCCAGTTCTTTTTTCTTTTTTTGAGTTGGAGTCTCACTCTGTCACCCAGACTGGAGTGCAATGGCCGCTCCTGGCCACCGCAGCCTCCAACTGCTGGGCTCCAGCGATCCTTCCGCCTCAGCCTTCCAAGTAGCTGGAACTACAGGTGTGCGCTACCACACCCGGCTAATTTTTTGATTTATTCTAGAGATGAGGTCTCACCAAGTTGCCCAGGCAGGTCTCAAACCCGCGGCCTCAGGCAGTCCATTCACCTCAGCCTCCCAAGGCACGGGATTACAGGCTGAGCCACCAAGCCTGGCTATTTTGAGTATTATATGTGTTTCATTTGGTAAAAGAAGTTAAAAGGCCTATCAAGTTTTTATTTGGAAAGTACTTGTTTCTTGTTTAGCACAAAGTATCTCAAAGTCTAGACTTTAGAAAGGCTGTGTATTTGTTTTGAATTCTTTTACAATGTCTTGGGTCATGTCGTTTGTCTTTACTTTAAATCCCTGAACAAGCTGGGCTCAGTGGCTCAGCCTGTAATCCCGCGCCTTGGGAGGCTGAGGTGAGTGGATTGCCTGAGTCTGCGGGTTCAAGACCTACCTGGGCAACTTGGTGAGACCTCATCTCTACAATAAATAAAAAAATCAGCCGGGCGTGGTAGCGCGCACCTGTAGTTTTAGCTACTTGGAAGGCTGAGGCAGAAGGATCACCGGAGCCCAGCAGGTCAAGGCTGCGGTGGCTGGGAGCGTGCCACTGCACTCCCGTCTGGGTGACAGAGTGAGATTTCAACTCAAAAAAAAATAAAATAAGTAAAATAAAATAAAAAATCCCCGAACAAAATGTGATTTTGTGGAACACTGCACTTTCAAGATTTTACAAACCAAAGCATATGCTCATATTTTTGACTAGAGAATATATCATGTCATCAAGCAACAGTTCTAGTCTTTTTGACTGTCTGATATATAGCGTCCAATCTAGAGTGAAATGTGTACTATTGCTGTCATACTCTATAGGAGAGAGAAAAGTTATGCCTGTGATAAACTGTTATTTTGCCTTTCAGACTCTTGGAAATGACATCACTGTGAAAATGTATTCTCCATCATGGCCTAACTTTGATTATACTATGGTGATTATTTTCATAATTGCTGTATTCACTGTGGCATTAGGTGGATATTGGAGTGGACTAATTGAATTGTAAGTTTAATTAAACTTTAGTATTTTGTGCCAAATGGTTAAAAAATTATTGTTTTATAATCATTTTAATCACATAACAACATTTAAAAATTTTACCTGACCTCACAATATGGTGTCAATAAGACCAGATTGCAGCTTTATCCTCCTAGGTCATTTGACTTTTCACCAAAGAGAAAAGAGCCAAAGGTTTATCCACTGGCAGAGAAACAGTGAAGTTACATCAAGGACTTTTTTAAGTTAAAATGTTTAATTCTTTCTCCCAGGAAAAGCCAAAACACTTAATATTTTAACATGCCTATTTACGTAGATTGGAAGAAAATAAGCAAGAGGAGGTAGGGAGATTCTCAGCTTTTCCCGTGTTAGGTCATCATAGTGTGGCCTCATCATTCTGTCTAATGATTTAGGAGTTTGAAGGACATTAGGCATGGCCATATTTTAATTTCAATATATTTAAATATAGAAATCCCAAATGTACATGAAATTTGGATTTCCTTTAATAACAACCTAAACTAAGTCTCCCTACAATTTTTGTACCTTTGGTTCTAGATTAAAATAGGCAATATAGTATGGAAGGGTCAGTTTATATTCATAACTCTGGATGAAAAAAATGTGCCCAAAGTATATTATTTGATGTGTAAAGGGCAATGTATTTGCCTCATGAATTGATCTATGGGTTGCAGTAAAAGGGAATTATTTGTAACTAAGTGAAGCTAAGCTTATTTATAATTTCTTAAATACTAAAATACTGACATCAAGAGGGAAGTATTACAGTATAAGTTTTTGGAATGTTGAACTTTAAATGTTTTACATATTTGGAAAGTGTGTTTCAGCACATGTAACATTATTCACATGAGCAAGCATGGTTTTTTTCTTCATTATTCATCTTTATAAAATATAGTATGCAAAATCTCTAAAATTATTTCTATTTTACTTGGTGAAACTTTAGAAATAATTTTCCAAAAGCTACTGATTGATTGAAAATGTTTTCCCATTATGTAGAGTCTCACTGTACTTCTGTTACTATGTAAATTTCTTTCTTTTCTAGAATAGTGCTTCTGAAACTATAATGTGTATACATGCTCCCTGGAGATCTTGTTAAAATACAAATTTCAGATTTAGTAGGTTTGGGATAGAGGCAAAGATTCTGCATTTTTAATAAGCTTCCAAGTGATTTTGCTGGCCTGTGGACCACACTTTGATTTAGCAAGGCGTGTTTGTTTATAAACATGTTAGGACGAGCTCCTCCTTGAGAAAATTGGAGGATTACATACCAGCTTTTTTAAAAACATGAAGGTGAGGTTAAAAGAAAGAATGTATTGCTTTCAGTAGCTGGATTAGGAGAGGAGATATTCTGCACCTGAAGGATTATGGATTTTAAAATTGAGGGAGGCTGTGCATGGTGGCTCCTGCCTGTAATCCCAGCACTTCGGGAGGCTGAGGTGAGAGGATTGCCCGAGCCCACAGGTTGGAGACCAGCCTGGGCAATTTGGCAAGACCTCGTCTCTACAGCAAGTCAAAAAATTAGCTGGGCATGGTGGCACTTGCCTGTAGTAGTTCCAGCTACTTGAAAGGCTGAGGTGAAGGATCAGCTGAGCCCAGCAGGTCGAGGCTGCAATGGCCATGAGCGTGCCACTGCACTCCAACCTGGGTGAAAGAGTGAGACTTCAACTCAAAAAAAAAAAAAAAAAAATAGTGGGTGTGGATTCTAAGCAAAATAAAGATAGAAGTAACTATATGTGGGAGGGAAGAGAGGGTGGTGACCAGTTAGAGAAAGGGAATGTAAATCAGTGATTAAAAAAGGAAAAGATTCTGTAAAAAGAATTATTAAAAACATAAGGACTGTTATTTAACAAATGGATGAAAAGATAATAAGACTTAGAGAAGGGAAAATTTGCCAGAGCAGATCCTCACAACCCAGAATTACCCTGCCAAATGAGAGGTGTCTTATGCAAGAGGGAAAGATGTCTTGGTTTTGTTTTGTTTGGTTTTGTTTTGTTTTGTTTTGTTTTGAGTTGTAGTCTCACTCACTGCTTCCGGCCACCGCAGCCTCAACCTGCTGGACTCCGGCGATCCTTCCGCCTCAGCCTTCCAAGTAGCTGGAACTACAGGCACACGCTACCACGCCCGGCTAATTTTTTTTTTTTTATTTATTGTAGAGATGAGGTCTTGCCAATTTGCCCAGGCGGGTCTCGAACCCGCTGACTCAGGCAATCCACTCACCTCAGCCTCCCAAAGCGCTGGGATTACAGGCTGAGCCACCGAGCCCAGCTGATGGTTTTATAGAAAGACTTCAGCAAAGAGTTAAAATCTTACTATAATAAGATCACTGGTCCTCAGGCTTTATAACCTCAAGCTGGCATGGGGAGAAAGCTTAGCTTCCTCTTGATGTGGCCCTGGAACTGATTTAAGAGTACAATTTTTAAAAAAAAGATTGAAGCAATTGTGATATAAGTCTAGTACAGTTTGTGTTTTCCCTTCAGGAAATTACATGTGCTTTTCAGTACACTGACTATGAATATATAAATCTATAATTATGGCTTGTATGTGTACTGTAATAAAAATGTCTTTAAATGTTCAATAGCTATTTGCAACGACAGGTACCGAAGGTTGTCACTTTTGCCCACTCAGGCACCACATTTATTAAAACTTCTGTTAATACCCTGTCATTCAGCTTTAGAGTTTCAGAGAAGGTGCTTGTGTGTCTCCATCAACTCTCTCCCTGCTCTTTTCCCAGATTACTTATTATACTTAGAATCACAGATGCTTGATATGGTGGCCATCCTGATCAACAGTTTTCTAATAAAAAAGTAATGTATTGGTAAATAAACACTTGGCAAATGTGCCATTTGACAGAAATAAACTTTTTTTTATGAATTAAGAAAGGTAGAGTTATTAAAGGGAAGATACATTGTAAAGAGCACAATGGGCATAACAGCAGAGAGAGAGTATTTACTATCTCCCTGAAATAAAATTTTTTAACTTAAAGTTTATACTTATCCCAGACCTGGAGAGCAGGGTCAGGATATACACAGGAAAGAACAGAGTTTAATAGAACAGAATTGACACGATGGCTCATGCTTATAATCCACATCTGTAAGCACTTTGAGAGGCTGAGGCAAAAGGATTGCTTGAGCCTAGGAATTCAAGACCAGCCTGGGCTACATGGCGAGACCTTGTCTCTACAGTAAATTTAAAAATTAGCTGGATATGGTGGCACATGCCTGTAGTCCCAGCTACTCGGGAGGTTGAGGCGGAAGGATGACCTGAGTGCAGGAAGTTGAGGCTGCAGTAGCCATGCCACTGCACTCTAGTCTGGATGACAGAGTAAGATTCTGACTAAAAAAAACCAAACAAAAGCAGAATTAAAAAGGACTTAGTAGGACAGGGCAAGATGGCGATGGCATAGGTGAACTGGTGAGATTCTCTGAACGGACCAAGACTGCATACTGCTGAATAGACAGACTGTAAAGCAGAGGGAAAAGTGAACAAAGCCAGAAGACCCTCATAAGGAAGAACAGGTCATTGCAGAAGAGAAATAAAAGTAACCCCACCTTCCCTCAAAAACAGAATTGAAGAAGGGGAGGGAAAGGGGGAGAGGGAGAAAAATCTACAGAAATGAAGAAAAACCAAAAGAAGAGTATGGGTCTCTCCCAGACGCCTGGGAGAACAGACATTGAGAAAACTGACTTTGGAATGCAAACAATGAAAAGTCCCCAGAATGAAGGGTCTCAAACTGCAAATGTAGATATCAGAACAATAATGGAGAGATTAAAAAGAATTGAGGAGACACAAGAAGAAACTAGGAAGGAGCTGATATCTGAGATAACAGTAATAAAGAATACTGTGAATGAAATAAATAACAAATTGATAAGCATGGAAAGCAGAATTACCCAAGCAGAAGAAAGAATCTCAGAGCTTGAGGACCAAAATATAGAAATAACCCAAACTCTTAAAAACACAGAAAATAAGCTCAAAAAGACAGAACAAAACCTTCAGGAGATGAGTGACTACCTCAAGAGGCCTAACCTAAGAATAATCGGACTCCCTGAGGCAGAAAGAGAAACAGAGACCACATTGGAACAAACTTTCCACGAGATCATTCAAGAAAATTTCCCTTATCTAATCAGTGATACAAAAATTCAAACACAAGAGATTCAGAGAACCCCCGCAAGACAACAAATGAGAAGACCAACTCCTAGACACATAATAATTCGCCTAAATAAAGTAGGCACAAAAGAAAAAATCCTAAAGGCAGCAAGAGAAAAAGGCCAGATCACCCACCATGGAAGAACAATCAGAATAGCAGCAGATTTATCTGCAGAAACCCTGCAGGCTAGGAGAGCTTGGAGCCCTATCTTCAAAGTCCTAAAGGATAAACAATTTCAACCAAGAATAACCTACCCAGCCAAGCTAAGCTTCATCAGTGAGGGAGAATTAAAATCG